ATTATAATTCTGAGTCATCTCACTCTCTCAACCATTTTGCCAATCTCAGAAACCTAGAAACACTGAAGATTCTTTTTGACTCGCCAGCAAATTCTACATTCATTAACATTGCTTTGCCATCAAGTCTCAAAAAGATAACTTTGGAGCGTGGTAGAATTGATTGGGAATACATGAGGGTTTTTGGTTCCTTACCTAATCTAGAAGTGCTAAAATTGCGTGAGCATGCCTTCCAAGGCAGAGAGTGGATACTAAATGAAGGGGAATTTCTCAAACTAAAATTCCTGCTAATTTGGGAGACAGATTTGGAGCACTGGAGAGCCAACGATACCCATTTTCCATGTCTGGAGCACCTAATCCTCAGGAATTGCTCGAATTTGGTAGAGATCCCATCTGATATTGGAGAAATACCAACACTTGAAACTATTGAGATAGATTACTCCAGTCCTTCCGCTGTGGATTCGGCAAAGAAAATACTCGACGATCAACAAAGCCTGGGAAACAGTGGCCTTCAAGTTTTCTTCCATCCAACAAAAGCAAAAGTCTATCCACTAAAGTTTGGGGTAATTAAATTACTCAGCCTATATTTGTATTTTACTTTTCTTAACTTTTAGAACATCAGGCCATATATTAATTAACTTCCAACAGATTCGGCAGGATGAATCAGGTCGCTATTATCAACCCAAAACCAAAATTGATCGATTAAAGGTAAATCAATACCTTGACCAATAACTATATGTTAATTCCTTAGCTTTTAGATACATGAAGTAAAATTGTCATAAAAAAATTAGGATCCATTCTGAAGTACAATAGCCTCATTTTAGTTAATAGTTGAAAACTATCATTGTCGTCTCGTTCACAAGTCTCAATTAAGCTACTACTCACCAAGGATTGTGTATTGTCAGGCTAATGCGAAGTCTGGAAGCGATGGTGGTAGCAGCTCCAATTCTTAGGAATTTTTTCTCATGGATTCCCTGAATTCTGAAACGCATGAACACTTGGAGGTATCTCGGTATTCAACTCTATCTTCTTCTAACACCATAAGTGGCTTTTTGATTTTTGTCACTTGTACAATTGTAGTTTGTTTGTTATTATTGAGATTGTATTTTACTTTTAA